TGTGTGTGTGTGTGTGTGTGTGTGTGTGTGTGTGTGTGTGTGAGTGCGTGTACAGGATGAAGCTTATACCACACCCACACAAGCTGGGCACCCAGGCAGTGACCTTTTGTTCCCTTTTGTTGCCAGTGTGTGGCTGCCTAATTTTAGGATCAGGAATTCAGGCCTGCTTCTGAAATGCAGTGAGAAGCATTCTGGGCACGGTGGGTGGGCCTGGACTTGATGCGAACCTGTTTCTGTGTTCCAGCCGTTCATCTTCTTTGTTGGAAGGGAGAATGTGTTCGTGAGACTAGTTTCGTGTCCCAGAAAGTCTGCTGCTAGCCCCAGGAGGAAAACTAGGAGGGAGCCATGGGGACAGAGGAAGTGAAGGAGGAAGAGCTATGGGCCCAGTGATGGCCGAATCTCTTCGCATCTTACTATCTCCTGGCCTAGGGATTCCTTCCACCAGGTAACACCTCCCAGCAGAAAGTGCTGAGCTCTTGACTTTGTCCCCTTGCAGGCAGGTGACAGCAGGGACATGTCTCGGGAGCTTCAGGACGTGGACCTGGCTGAAGTGAAGCCTCTGGTGGAGAAAGGGGAGGTGAGTAGAGATGTTCCTGGCTCCTCCCTTCACATGCACAGGTGTGCACACAGCACGCACATGGAGACACATGTGTATGCATAGCATGCACACCTGAGAACACCCACACCATGTACACATGAGTACAAAGCACACGCAAACCATTCACACACACATGTGCACTGCTTCTGTGAGTGCACAGGGGTAAGAAACCTGTGTTCAAAACCCAGCGAGGCTATTAAGTGCTACAGGGCAATGGGCTGAGCTCTTGTCCACTGGTGCCTCATCGCTCTCCTTGGTAGTGAGGGCATCAGACCGGGCTTCTCTAAGTGTGTCTGACATCCTGTGCTTCTAGAACATGTGATGTGGAGTCCAGTGCCCATGGGATCTGCCTTCTCCGCAGCCTAGTGGATATAGCTGCCTTCCATGAGACCACACTGCTCATGCTAGGGTCCTCCCCCGTAACGTGGAGGATCCCCGCAGGGGCCGTGTGAGAAAGAGGGTACCAATTCACAGAGCCGCCTGCCGGCTCTGCAGGAGATAAGCACACTCATTAGCAGTTGTGGTGTCTCCTCAGCTCTTCCTGATGGACCCTTTCTGTGAGCAGCAGTCCTGCTGTTGGAAGCAGGAGCCCTATGCTAGAGCCCCGCTGGCTGATTGTGCCAGTCATGGGCCAGGCTTTCTGTCTGCGCAGCTGACACTGGGGTTGTTTTGTTGTTTTTATTTTTGTTTTTAATGCACTCATGCTTCTCAGAAAACTCACAGTGGTCTGTGTTGATTACTATTAAAGAATGTGGAAGCTTAAGCTTAAAAATGAAGTCACTCTAAGGCCAAGCTAGTGCTCTTTAGAACAACCCCGAACGTGCACTGACCACATCCTGGGTGCATGCCTCTTGGCTACCCATTATTTCCATCATGGCTGGTGGCTGAACTACCTTTGCAATTGTCCTCATTGGACGGAAGAGGGGGTGGGCTGTCATCTGCCACCTGTGTGCTGTGCACTCCCTAATGCCACTCCTAAATCTTTATTCTAGGTCTACAGCAGTTTTAAAAAATGAACTGACAAAAAACCTAGGTAGTATAACTATATATCAGCATATTCTTAACACCCCCTTTTATATGCCTTGTGGAAAAGGCATAGTGCACCTGCTTTATCCACTCAACAGTGTGTTTTAGCGGCCTTTCCAGTGGCAGTCTACGAACTTGGATTTGCATTGTCAGCTATGTAGTAGTCCACCAACTTTTTGACCAGTGCCCAGTATGTGGATGGCGAGTCCCCTTAACCTTGGGCCCCTGCAGACAGTTATGTGGCATGTTTGTCCTTCACTGCACCACAAACACCTCTTACTGTGCACCTGTGCGGGTGCAGCCAGAGGAGACACTCCCGGGAGTGACACAGTTGGGCCCATCGGCGTGTGCATTTTAAAACATATTATATTTTTCAGGCCACCCACTGTGTGTTTTATTTCTGAATCAAACATTGAAGAGCTTGTAGACCCTAGGTTACACACTAGTCCATCTCGCTGTGGATTGACCTTTTCTGTCAAGGTTTGGGAAGAAATAACATTCATTCCAGTTCTGTAGATTTACTCAGCGAAGGCTTACCATGGAGGAGTTCGTCCGGATGTCTGTCTTCAGCCCAGACTGTCCCCCTTCCCAGAAGCGGGTGGTGGACCAGTGGAAGCCTGGTTTCCAGGGAGTGTTTGCATTCCCATCTCAGGGTCAGGGGAACACCGGAGCACTTCTTGACAGTCTTGACCAAACGATGCTTCAGTCCTCCTCTGAGCCAGGCTTCCACAGCCCCACCGGGGACCAGAACATTTTCCCTGTTTTTTTGAGCTATCCCTGCCACTGAAAGGTCTAGTGAGAGATGGAATTTGGGCTGAAATTCAGTGTTTAGATTGAGGGAAATGCTTAGAGATTTCCATTCTCACCTCCCACTCACGAAAGATTGGATTTTAATCTGGAATCCATTTGATGCCAACCACAAAAAACAGTGAAGGAAGCAGGACAATGGCGTGGTCAGGTCTGAGTTTTGAAAGTGTGACACAGGAGTGGAGACTGGGAGGCCAGTTCATAGCCATTCACACCCCTGTATCCCTCAGGCTTGTGGTTGGCTTAGACCTTCAGATCTTTTCTCACCAAGGCTGTCATCACAGAGGAATCCAGCTAACAAGTCTTTGTTTCTGCTGGGCTGCCTTCATTTGAGATGAAAAGGACAGCCTCTCTGGAATAAGAGGGGCCCCAGAGGAGGAGGGTAGACTGTATTTCTCTCAGAAACCTGACATCCATCCTGTCTCTTGTTTTTTCCACAGACCATCACTGGCCTCCTGCATGAGTTTGATGTCCAGGCAAGTAGAAGACATGGCCTCCTTCCCTGCTTCCTGCCCTCTCCTCTCTTTCCTTCCTTCTGTTGGTTGGAAGTAGAACGCTATTCAGGTGTGGAAGCCAGGGAAAAGGAGGAAGTGGGTTCAGTCAGGTCCCACACTCAGCTCATCACCTGGCAGGAAGTGGTGTGAGTCCCAGCTAGAGAAGCAGAAGCTAGTCACATCCGGGAGAGCAGGGCAGATGACAGCACAGCCCCAGCCCTGTGAGGGGCGTCTGGGGAAGCAGTGGGACTTCAGGAAGGTTGGAGACCCTGTGATGGGAAGGCTCTGGCTGGGCAAGTGAAATGAGCCCTCTCTGGGGTTTGCTGTCCTGAAACGGAAGCACAGCCATCCTGCTTGGGGTTGGTGGGAAAGTCAAGAACACTCTATCAGGACATCAGTCCAGGGTGTGCAGGTCCTGGACTGGACTCAGCATTCCCATGCCCGAGGGCACCCATGCTGTGCTGAGCCTGAGGTGGGTTGGAGAACAGGGAGGCAGAAAGCCTGACACCTGGGGAGATCATGCGTCCCGGGGAGAGGAGCAGATTGCACATGGCCGGCCATAGGCGGCTGAGACACACAGGTGTCCTGGGCTTCAGGCCACCATCAGCTCTGGTCCCTTTCCTCTGTCCCACCCTCTACTCCTTCCCGAGACTCCTGCCCCACTACACTCCCAGCCATCCACAGGCAGGGTCTTGCACCACTTTTGGGAGGAAAAGGAAAAGGATAGCGGAAGAAAGCATGGAATAAGGTTGCGGAGGCCCTGCTTCTCTGCCGCGGGGTGTTGGGCCTTGTGTTGGACCATCAGCCTGGGGTGATTTCGGGGCTTCGGGGAGCCAGTGAGGAGGCTGTGATGAGCTTCCTGTGCAGTGATTATCCATTTTCCTCTGGGTCAAAGCCAAATCCCAGAGCCAGGAAGAGTGGGCTGCGAGCCCAGATGCCCCTTGTTGGTGACTGGCCCAAGGTGTATTGGCCCGGCAGGCTGTGTCCTCAGGTTGGAAGTGTGAGTGCCCCACCTTGTTCAAGAGTGGTGTAGAGAGGACAGCAGAGGTGTGACTACCTCAGTGGTAGGCCGGACACAGCACATCCTACCTATGAGCTGTTGCGCATTCCCCATCTTTTCACGCAGCATGGAATGTGTGGTCTTCACTGTTACACATGCACCATTCTGTGGAGATCAGTACATTCACCCTGTCGCACAACTGTCACCGCCATTCATCTCTGGGCTTTTCATTGTGCAAAAATGAATCTCTGCCCCATTAAACAACAATGCTGGACTTCCCTTTCCCAGGCCCTGGGCTCCACCATTCTGCTTTTTGTCTGTGGGTGTGAGGGCTCTGAGTGCCTCACGTGCGTGGAACAGTGGAACAGCTGTCCCTTTGTCTCTGGCTCATTTCACTGAGCTTCATACCCTCTGGGCCCATCCATGTTGCAGCGTGCGCCAGGGCATCCTTCCTTTCTAAGGCTGAGTCAGATCCTCCGCATGCACGCATCCCGTTTTGCTTAGCCATTCATTCCTCCCTGCATTCTTGGGTGGCTTCCACCTTTTGGCCGCCGTGACTAATGTTGCTCTGAACACAGTTTCAATTCTTGGCGGGTCCATAAGTCGCAGAGCTGCTGGATCATGTGGTGATTGTGGATATTTAAAGTCTTGATTACTGATTCTGGAAAACCTAGAAAGCAGAGTGTATCTGTTCCGTACAATTCCCACTACTGTGTCGCCCCGATCCTCTAGGACTTCTGTGGCTGGTTTTAAAAGAGGACAGGAGCTGAGGCCCTATTTGCTAGTTCAGGTGGCAGAGAGGGCTCTGCAGGCCAGAGGGGCTGAGGAGCTGTACCCTTAGGGCGCTGATGAAACTACTTAGAGGAGACAGGGGCTGGCAGAGGTCAGGACGAGGTCTAAAAGCACCATGTGCCAGACCTGGGCGTGTCCCCTCTGACCCTCCCTGGTGTGCTCCTGTAGAGTGTGCAGTTTCCTTGTTATAAAACCCTTTGTTCTTTACATGCACGGCCCCTCAGTGCTCAGCATGGTCCTCTGTGCTGGGGGTACAGTGGCAAGGTGACCGGCAGCACCCTTGTTTCCAGGAACTTCTGCTCAGAAGTAGCAGCTCAGCCCGAAGGAGTCTTCGCACAGAACCTGCACAAGGCGCTATTTGTGCGTGCCTCACACTGGACTCACCTGAGCAGTCCTGTCCACATTGCACAGGTGGAGGACCCTAGACCCCTCAAGGTTAAGGAATCTGCTGAAAGCCTCAGGGCCGGGAAAGGGAGGCTAGCTTTGTACTCAAGCCACATGTCTCCAGAGCACAGGCTTGAAACTTCTGCTCTGATGCCCCACACAGGTGAGACTGACAGACATAGAAACAACTGGGCCAGTAGGACCGTTCCACCTGTGGTAGGTGCACTGAGAGTGATAGTAGGGGCTGACCAGAAGCAGGTGAGGGAAGGACATTGTAGACACTCTTAGGTGAGTGGTCTAGGAAGAGATGGAGCCATGCACCAAGGAGATGGACTGGTTATTCTAAGGTGGAGGCAGCCACACACATGAGCTCTGTGACCTGCATTCGGAGCTGTCCAGTGACAGAGGTGTCATCCCCATGAGCTGTCGGCAGACCCCATCTTATCATGCACCATGGAATCTGAGCAGACTCTGACTGTCAGGTGACACTTTGTCAAGGTTGCTACCAAGAGTTTTGTACAGAATTACTCTTGGATGTTGTTCCCAGACCCAGTGGTCTTTATGAAGGCCTCCCCAGATTGTCAACATGGTCATGACTACCATGAATCTCCCAGTCCCTCGGTGTGGGGTCACACTGAGTGATGAGATGGCCATGAGGGGTGCCTGCACGTGGGGCCAGGAGCTGAGTGTGACAGAGCCTCATCGGTTGGCCTGGGTGGCTGCAGGGTGTTCCCACCCAGGGACAGGCCATCCAGCCTCAGGATGCTCATGGGGCATCAGCAAAGTGAGATCACCTGCTAGCCACTGTCCTCTGCTGAGCCACGGTGGTCCCCAGGGCTCCCTCTGCTCTGGCTCAGTCTTCTGGGACTTGTACCCTCATCCTTGCTTTGCAGATGGGTAAATCAGGGCTGAGAGGTGACCTTGCTGGTCTCAGCTCTGTGTGAACCCTCACCCTGAGGCCTTACTCCATCCAGACCCTAAAGGTCCAGGTCAGTTCTTAGGACCAGGTTCTTGTCCTGCTTGACAGTGGCTATGTTTTTAAACAATCTTGCTAAGCCCGTGGCCTAACAGTGCTGCACTGGGCTTATGTGACACTTAGGAGCGTGGGCTTATGCGGACTTGGCCAGTCATGCATATCACTTCCCCAGACTGCTTATTATCACAGGGTCCTGCCCACCTATGGATTTCAGCTGTTTCCCAGTGCACTTTTGCAAGCACCTGGCAGACTCTCCTTGCCTTTCCCAGTATAGCTAAGGATTTAAGCTTTTGACATTCTTTTTTTTTTAATGAATCTAAGCACACATGCACATAGCCAAGAGATCCTCAGAGAGAAGCCGCTGGAGGGTCTGCTGCGAGCTTCAAAAGGGTCTGTCTCAGGGCTGCCAGAGCAGATGGCACTGTGCCTTCTCTCTCGCTGCCAACAGCACCTGAGGGTAGTCTCTCTGGGCTTGGGTGCTTGTCTTTAGGGCAAATCAGTGTGATCCGCATATGAGGCTCCTTCAGCCATTCCCAGTCCTGTGGGCCTGTCTCCCTGCACAGGTGCTGGGCCTCTCAGTGCACAGGGTTGGCCAGCTGCTGAACTAAGGTGTGGTAGTTGCAGGAAGCATTGGCTCCACCTGGGCCTGCTGAGAAGGTTCTGGAATCAGGGTCCCGGAAGTTGTGGTTGTGAATTGAATGGTTGGTAGGGTGGGAGCATCTTGGCTTCTGGCTTATTTTCCTTGGCTGGATCTCTAGAGTCCAAGGTTGTCAGAGGACAGCAGATGCCAGCCGTATCTCTTTGAAAAGCCACCAGATACTACCTTGTCTCAGGGCTCCCCCACCAGCATGGCAGGGGTCATCTTTGTTTGCAGGTGAGAGACCAGTTTGAAGATAGGTAGGAACTTGTGAAAGGGACTGTTGAGATAGCTCTAAACTTGGGTTAGGCTGACATGACAAATGTGACAATCACAAGGCTACGATGGCTGCGGTCTCTCCAGTGTAAAACCTGTGCCAGAACTGCTGAGCGCTTTTGCCAATCTTATCATTTGATCCCTGTACCCACCTCACAAGGGAGACATCTCTGCCTTTCTTTGGTTGTTTGTTTCTTGGTTGTTTTTTTTTTTTGTTTGTTTGTTTTTCCTGTTTTCTTTTGTACTGGGGATCAAACTCAGGACCTCGTGCTGGTGAAGCAGGTGGTGGCAGCAGCACCACTGAGCTATATCCCCGGCTATCTCTGCCCTTTTTACTGTGCCCTTGAAGACCCGCAGCCCAGGAAGGTTGTAAGGAATGTGCACAGAGTCACCCAGTGGTGAGATGGACCACAAACTCTCTCTCTGTTCCCATGTCCAGACCCTAAGTTCACAGGGAGTGATAGAGCTGTGCCTGCTACCCATAGCTCCCAGCTCGCAGGCTAGGTAGCTTTCTGTGCCTCAAATTGCCTTTGCTGTTTCTAATTCCTTCCACCTGGATCTTTAGTCTAGCCATTCAGCTGGTTTGATTTGATTTGGTTTCCATGGGAATCCAGTTTGTGTGCTCACCAGGGCTCTCTGAGAAACAGGCTGCTGTTCCCCACAGGACCTCCTGGCAGATGGGGGCAGGGTGGAGGGTGTGGCAGACATGGTCTCCTGAAGTCTGGCCCCTGGGTGCAGGGAAGTGTGATCCTTCTCAGGGGGCTGATTCTTTTCCTGTTCCTTAGAAATCTGTCAGCTGGAGGAAAATGGAAAGAGTGACCCTTCACTAATTCCTTTCTTTGCACACAATTGCTTCTTATTTTCCTGCCCCTGGACTGAGGTGGGCAGAACACGAGCCAGAAGCTTGGGGATCATCA